TTATATTTGAATTAATAACACTAAAATCTATAATCCAGCTGTTTTTATAAAAAGTGCAAATGTTTTTGCCTATGTTGAATGGGTATCATCAGGCAAACTCCAGTTTGCGTGAGATTCTATAAATTCATTTAGAATAATTATGACATGATTAATTAGTAACATAACAAAGAAAGATCATAAAAAACTAAAGATACAGTAGAGTCTTGAAAACTCGGCCTAATATGGACCGAAGGGTGGCCGAGTTTGTGAAAATGCTGGGTTATCGGGAATGGGGTTAAAAAAATAAGTATGAGTGTTTCCTCAGAAAATACTGTACTGTACTTGTATGTATTGTTTGCTTAAGAATACAACAGAGAATAAACTGCCCAAATACCCTTAAACAAAGGAAAAGTACTGTACTTTATGAAGGCATAAAGCCTTTACTACATGAAAATGAAAATTAATGAATATACTGTGTACAGTAATTTACCAGATAAGACAGACCTCAGAAAAATACTTTATGAGGCATAAAGCTGTCTAATATGAAAATTAATTAACTAAGGATTTTTTTGCCCTGCCAGGATGTGGCCGAGTTATCTGGACTGCCGAGTTATCGAGTGCTGAGTTTTCGAGACTTTACTGTACCATATTTACTCGCATATAAGACAAAGTTTTTATTCATTTATCACAGCTTCAAGTTCCTAGGTCATCCTATATGCACAAGTGAAAGATTCTTTGCATTTTTGCAAATAATTTTGTGAACTGTGTATTCACATTTTTTTACTGGATACTTACCTTCTCACCAAATAAACCATCACTAGTTCATAACAAAACAGAAAATTTCTTACTACGAACGTTTTCATCTATGTGAAATAAACATCTTCAGATATTGACAATAACAAACAAACAGCTGGTAAAATAGAATGTTTTTTAAAGTTTAGATTAATTATGTAATTTGAATATGTTACATTAAAATTTAAATATATGTAAAATATTTGAGGCATATCCAAATAAATAATCAATTAATTTCACGTAACTTATGACGTAAATATCCTCTGTAATTTAAATTATCCTTAATACAAATTTCTGTCGTTGGGATCTAGTTCAAAAAAGGAAAAGTGTGTCTGTTTCCTTGAAGTTAATAGCAACTCCCTGTTTAATTGCCTGGTAGATCTCAAGTACCTCGAATTGCTTGATATCTACCTTATCTGATACTCTGTGTAGCAATTTAATGTTCTGTAGTTCAACATGAACTTCCTCATTATTTGCATATGTTGCTAATGCCATAGTAGTCAGCTTTTTTCTTATGGAGTATTCATGTTCTTTCATCCTCATTGTGAGACCTCTTGCTGTTGCTCCAATGTATGTTAATGAGCAGTTAACTTGGTCATCATGAAAAGGTACTGCATAAATCCCTGGAGAGTATGTCATCTAATTGATTTTTATTATCAAAAACCTTGATATTATTAATAAAGGACTAATTTATAAGCATTCAAAATCACAATATATGTACAGTATATGCATATGCCTGAAACATGCATTATGAATATTAAAAATGCCAGTAATACACTAAAATATTACTGTCCATGAGCAAATTTTACTAATAACTATTATGTTTTACTTTTTAGATGGAAGGGGATAAACGTGGGACAATAGATGACACAACAAATTTAAAAATTATGACATCACAAAACATATATTAGAATAATGTTTCATGTAGAAGGTGTGCGTCAAGTCAACTATGAATAAAATTGAATATTCAATAAAATTTTATAACTTTCTATGCCAGGGGTGGCCAAGCTTCTTGATAGTCCAAGCCATTTTTCAAAATTTGAAATTTTTCGCGAGCCGCAATTAAATACGTATTAAAAAGGTATGCAAAAAATTCCAGAATTATATCCGTAGCAAGAGTGATACAAATTGTTTCTTCCAGAGCACAATGTCAGCTGTCCATTGCAATGACAGTTTACAAATTCAAAATCGGTCTGGAGTCGGTCGATAATGGACGATTACGCCACTGTTTATGTTCGTTCGCGCAGTTTTCCATGAGTCATATCATTCTTAACTTGTACGGAAATGAAATTTGTTACAATGTCTAAATTACACTTAGTCTAAATTACTAAATTACTAACTAAGTACTAAATTACTAACAACAAATATGAAAGATTAACTTTCATATTTGTTGTTAGTAATTTAAAAGACATTTTGAAACACATACGGAACAATAATAATTTTTTAAAATATGTATAATAACACAAAAATGAAAAGGGATTTCGGGTACATTTATCGAGAGCCACAAATAATCATTCAAAGAGCCGCATGCGGCTCGCGAGCCGCAGGTTGGCCACCCCTGTTCTATGCAATCATTAAATTTACTTCTACATATCCAATTGTTTATGAGAAGTTGGATGATGATTGGATTAATCAAGTTTTCCATATCCTATAGTTATGTCACTGGTTTAGTCTTCTATTTTTGTTTATAGCCCTGTACAAGTTATGATAAATTACTAAATGTTTTTATTAAGTTATTAACTAATTATATATATAATATCAAAGTTGATAGTAATAATTTGTTCCTAACTGATATGGACTCTACTAAAGTTAGTTTCAGTGCAATTGGAGTTTACTATGATCAATTGCTGTTTGGCTTGTTTTGATACTTCATGTTTGCTGATGTAAAGATGTTTCAATGCTTAAAATAGTTTTTTTAACAAAAAACAATTTGTCTTATGTTATAATAAAGAATTTTTCCATCTGTTTTAAATGTCTTGGTTCAAAAATCCTGACTTTCCTAGCAATTTAGCTTTAGTTTTTGCCATTTTATCCACATTGTCATTAAACCAAACATAACATAACACAATCTTTAATCTGTATGCTCCATACACAGAAGTTTGACTACTTTATTTACAAGAAATTATCTCCTTTATATTTAATTATATTATTTAAACTCAACTACTCAAAACTGGGTGTACAGTCAAGATCATTTCAAATACACAATGATCTATAATTAAACAATAACCGGCGTGAAATTCTTCAAAAAATTGGCGAACATTTTCGATTCCCCTCTTGGGTTCTTCAGGCTTATTTTATATCTCCCGTTATAACTGGATCCTTTAATTCGAATGTTTCTTAAAAATTTGAAATGTGACCTTTTCCGAAGGAATGCAATTGTAAAAGTAAAGGGAATTAAGATTGCATACAAAAGAAACCCAACCATTTACAGTTTATTAAGGAACAGGAAGGACAATTCTAACCCATAGTCAGAAAAATAGTGGTCAAATAATTAAATAACAATACAGTGAGAAATTTACCATGAAGACATCACCTTAAGGCCACAACATCAAGAGATGTGTGGCTGCATGCCATATCGTCTTTCAGATATTAAGTTTAGTTAGTATTCTTTGTTCTGTATCTCTCCCTCTTTCTAGAACTTTCTTTCATAATCTTTTTCCCTTGGGTGGGATGACCAGTTTCAAGAAATAAGGTGAACAAAGAAGAGAACAAGACCCTGAGGCTAAAAAAGACAACAGGCAAGACATTCTTTGCCAAGACTTGGGAGCATACGGACATGGTGCAGAGCACTCTGAGTCATGTTAGCAATGACCAGAGATTTTAGAAAGAAGTCTAAGGAAAGGATCCTGTATTATCGTTGTGGCAATGAGGCAGTGAAAAAAAAAAACTAAGTAAAAAAAGAGGACGGACAGGATTTTATTGAAGATAACTGTCGTGATAAGAAAATCGTCTGGCACTCAGTTTTCCCGCCTTTTTATGAACGACCGTTGTCGCCATAGAAACGGCAATCAGACCATTTTGAAAACTCGACCGCTCATTGGTTAAAAGACATCAGACCATCGGCGGACGTCTTATAGAGCTGGTAAATGCTGATTGGTGGAATCCAATGCTGTTTCAATCCTATAAAAGCATCGAAAGTTCTGGCAGGAAGTTCAGTTTACTTTGGACATTGGAAGTGAACTCACGCTGACCTTAGCTCGCCTAAGCTGTTTTAGAAGATTGTCTCATCTTGTTGTAGGGTTGTGGACTTTGAATTTGTACATCGCAAGGTGCTTTTCCGACGGACCTGTTGCAGTGGATGATTACCTTGAACTTTGTTAATATCTAATGTTTGTAATTCTTATATGTGAACTTTAATTGTAACTGTACATACGTTTATTTTCAATATACATTAAGTTTTAAATTTAACTGGCTCTGAAGTGTATTTGAAGTTGACTGGTGCAGTTTCGACAGGATTACACAGGATTCGACAGGATTACATACTTCGAACTACCAAGGATCGGAAAGGCTGATCTGCGACGAAAGGAACCGAACAACACCGGCAATCATTGACCCAGGTAAAACTTTATTTTACTCGCTAGCACAGAGATGCCTAGAGGCGCAAAATCGAGGCGTTTGCAAACTAGGGATTGGGAGGACGATGAGCTGGGGACATTACGAGACGAATCGCGAGAACGTGAGAAAGCAAGGCTGAGGTTTGAAGTCGCGGAAGCCGAGACCAAGTTAAGGGAAGCAGAACTCAGGGCAAGGAAAGCAGAACTCGGGGCGAGGAAAGCTGAGGCCAAGCTGAGGACAGCGGAAACCGAGGCCGAGCTGAGGACAGCAGAGGCCGAGGTCAAGGTGAGGAAAGCAGAGGCCAAGTTGAGGGAAGCAGAACGCATATTAGAGCAAGAAAGACGGCTCTTTGAGGCGCGGAGCTCGGCAGGTCGGGTTGTCAAGAGGAAATTAGACAATCCGGGGCACCAGGGATGGAGCAAGCTTGCAGAAGTAGCTAAGGTCACAGAGAAGTTTGGGGAGGTGTCAGGTAGTAGGTTGGCCAGTAACAGCGAGGAGGTTAGAAAGCGACAGGACTTTCAGAGAGGAATGATGAGGAAACCCATTCCCTCGACACAGAGTTCGGTCAAACGGACCCCCAAGGCTAGTTGTAGTGCCTGTGGCAGGGCTGGGCATTGGAGGAGAGCTTGTCCTAAGCGGAAGGCATCCAATGAGTCCAAACGGGCACGGCTAGTAACTACGAACAAGACATCCCAAAAAGACGAACTTCCGGTAGTGAGGATAACGACGTGTGACCAACCAAAGGTCAAGGAGGCGCCAAAAAGAATCAAGCCGGTAGGCGACAGAAATAGTCTTTTGGCTATGGTCGATTCTGGGGATGAGATTTCGGTCGTAAGGGAATCATTGGTGGCGGAAACGAAGGGGGAAATCCAACAGGTTGGATCCTTCGGTCACCGGATTGATTCGGTAACGATCCCGATAGGGCTGTGGGAGGAAGACCTCACAGGATCGTGTGAGCCGGCGATGGTGACTTGTGTCGTAACAGACAAGTTACACCAACCCACGGACGCTCTAGCATCAGAAGGGGATCACCGGATGTTATTAGACCGAAAGCAGAAGCTCCAGGGAAAGGGAGAAAGACAGGCGAGGAGCTTAAGGGTAGATGGTAACAGAAACCATCAGGAAAAGGAGCCAGAACCTCTCTCAGAGGCGGGATGCAGTGAAAATAGCGACGAAAATGAGAAAGAAACAGAAGTACGAGACGCTCAAGTCCGGGACGAGTCACTTTCTCGGTTGGGGAAGGTCGTTAAGTATAAGAAAGATGGGCTAGTTGTAGAGGACGAGATACTATATCGGCAAGATAGTTCGTTCGGCAGGCCCATTAAGCAGATAGTTGTTCCCCAAGATCGGAGAGCGAAAGTGTTAGATTTAGCACACAAAACTCCGTGCGGTGGACAGTTTGGCAGTCGGAAGTTAGCAAGTCATGTTCGCGAGGGCTTCCATTGGCCGGGAATGGCGACCGACATCCGGAAGTACTGCCAGGATACTCGTAGGTGCTTAGTAAGAGCGCCTGATCTAGTCCTAGATATGACCCCAGCTACACCACTTACTCGATTCTCAACCCCGTTTCAAGTGGTTAACATAGGTGTTGATCCCTTGTCAGCTAACGGTCTTCGATACGCAGTTAGCATAATCGGATTATGCACCCGATGGTCAGAAGTGGAAAGGATGAGATCGTTGTCAGCGATGGTCACTTGTTCGGTATTCATGCGATTCTTTACGCGGACGGGTTGTCCCAAACTGATGTGGTATGATCAGGGGACAAATTGCTCCGCAGGGTTGACGCGTGAAATGACCCGTATGTTAGAAGTAGGGAATGTAGAGAGGGATCGGATCAAAGCGGTCCACGATATTGCAACTAAGCATACGGACGTAAAACGAGAAGAGTATGCAGTGCCTTACAACGTGGAAGCACGGCAAAAGGGATATAACATCGGAGATAAGGTTCTCGTGGAAAAGTCTTTCCCAGATTACAAATTGGATGTCCGGTGGGAATGGCCTGATGTAGAAGAAAAGCGAGGACGTAAAGGAAACTACCATATAAGAGCTGAAGACGGGAGAGTTAACTGGGATGAAATAGATAGTCTCAGGGAGTACCGTAAGCGAACTTTTGCTGTACGAATAGTACTTAGTTCCGACGGGAAATTCGGGGAACTGGTTCAAACTCTGTCCTCGCGGCAGCTGTACGATCGCGGACGATGGGACGGGAGAGAAAGGGGAGTTCCTCCGCTTCCCCCGACGTCGGCACAGACCGAGCTGGATGACGTGCTGGAAGATTACAACTCGGTTTTCGGTAGTAAACCAAAGAAGAAAAACATCTGGACACTTACTGGAGGGTGGATCCCGAAACGGTTTACCCCATACCGGATTTTGCTAGCTTTACGAAAGCGGTTATTAGGCATTGGTAACAAAGGCATCTCTGCGCGTAGATGGGTAAAATTCCCAAATGTTCCGAATGTATGGGTCATTTTTTTTTTTTTTTCATTGAATGATCATCATTTCCCCTTGCGGGGATCAGTCATCCTTGTCCCGCCATAGGCACCACAAGGAGAACGTTGCTTTATTAAGTTAAACCAGTATAAATTCTTATTTACAATAAACAAACTACAGTAAAATTAAATTAACATTAAAACAAAATGACGCGTTCTTGTCACGCTTGTACAGTAAAGCCGGTGGATTGCCGGCTGGTAGGTGGAGAGATGACTTTTCTCTCCACCTTTACATAAGAACCCTTCTCGCGAAGGTCTGAATAGCATTTGCCAAGTCTCTGTCTCGGATTAGGTTATATAGGTCCAAGTTTGGGAATCTCGTATTCTGTGTATGGAGAAGTCTCAACTCCAACCTCTCCTTTTCGTATTTGTAGCATTCCAGGATTTTATGATTGAGGTCTTGATTTTCTTTACCGCAGTCACATGCTGCTGAATTCCTCTTGCCGATTTTTTGTAAATATTCATTACTATTACAGTATCCAGTGAGGATTTGGCTAGTTATGAAGTTTATTTTGAGCCATTGTAAATCTTTCATACGCTCTTCTATACTTGGTAGAAGCCAGAATGTGTGTCTACCTTTATTAGTGTAACTCCATCTGTCTTGCCATATTGCGTTAGTCTCTGCTCTGATGGTTCTTTTAATATATGATAGAGGTATCTTTCCGTGGGACGCATTCACCAGATTAGCGGCCTCTTTGGCTAAGAGATCCGCGCGTTCGTTACCATCAACTCCGCTGTGGGCCTTGATCCACTTAAATTTTATTTGTATGCCACTTTTATTTATCATGTTTTTAATATTTAGGGCTGTCTCATTTGTGTCCACGAATTGTCGTAGAGCACTGATAGCTGATTGACTATCTGTATTAACCAGGACTAGACCATCTGTTCCGGTGGTAATTACCCAACTAATAGCCCGTTCTATTGCCAACAGTTCTGCTTGGTAGACTGTACAATAGTCTCTAAGCCTGTACTTCTCAGAGTATATCTCTATCCCGTTGCATATTGCTACAAAGGCTGCACCTACTAAGTTATCTACCTTCGAGCCATCTGTGTACAGTTCTATATTTCCTATTTCATCACTTTCTGCTAACACTATTGTTTTCCGTTCAGGTGGTCTGGGCATCATCAATAAAGTGAGCTTTAGTTCTATGTCATTCGTCATTAATTATATTCCGTCTATTTGTATGTTATGTCCTCTTCTGCATTGGTAAAGGACAGCTCTCTCCTTGAGAATTAGGTCAATAGGTGGTGTTCCTGCAATAACCAACAATGCCTCAGTAGATGTGGTTCTAAAAGTTCTAGTTAACCTAAGTAAAGCACACCTTTGTGCACTGTAGAGTTTCTTTTTTATTGTCTCTTTCTCTGCTGCTAGGTACCACGCAGCAGCTGCATACGTAAGTCTTGGAATGAAAGCTCCCTTGTAAATAATTTCCATAGCTTCCTTGTTCAAACCCCATGTAGCTTTGGCTACCCTTGCTAGCGCATTGAACATGCTGATACTTTTATCCTTTGTTGCTATGGTGTGTGGAAGCCAAGTCAATCTGTTATCTAACACCACTCCTAGATATTGTAGTTGTTTCACTACCTTTATTTTACCGTTTCCCATCTTTAAGGTTGGGCATCTTTTGTATAGATCTGTGGTGCGACCTTTAGTGAAGATTATTGCACTGGTCTTTTTAGCATTGAATGATAGTTTCAGACTTTCTCCAGTCTCAAGTATTTTGCCAAGCACATTGTTGCCAGTCTGTTCTATTTCCCTACGGGAGTCTGACCCATAGATGATGAAGGTGTCATCTGCGTATGCCATCTCTATTATTCTTTTACCTTTGTCGACTCTAAGGAATTGGTCATACGCCAGGTTCCAAAATAATGGACCCGAATTTCAGCCTTGGGGACATCCTCTTACTAGCTCCCTTGTTATATTTGCACTATTTGTAGAGTAAATGACCCTGCGATTATTAAGATAGTCCTTAACTACGTAGTATATGTTTTCTGGACAATCTGCTTCTCTCAGAGATTTCAAGATCAGGGGCCACCACGCATGGTCGAAGGCGCCCCTGATATCCAGACTAATACCGCAGCAGTACTTGTGATTGGTAAGGGTCCGTTCAATCTCGTTAACTACGGTGCAAATGATGTCATCTGTACTCTTGTTAAAAAGAAAGCCATACTGTTTGCCATTTAAGAAATTGTTTCTTAGTATATGTGCCATGATTCTTTGACTTATTAAGTAATCTAAAACTTTGCCAAGCAATGGTAGAAGACTTATGGGTCTATAGCTTTTGGCATCACTTTTATCTAGATTATCTCCCTTCGGTATGATGAACAGTTTAGCCAGCTTCCAAGTTGCTGGAAAGAAGTTATAGTCGAGGCACAGATTATAAAGTCTTGTCATATAGTTTGGGTTTATTTCCCAGACCTTGTACACTATCTCTGTGACTATACCATCCGGGCCGGGTGCCTTACCCGGTTTTAGCCTATATACTGCATTCTGTATCTCTTCTGTAGTAAAGCTTGGGTCCATTGACCATTTATATGTCATTTCACTTTCTGCTCTCAACAGCTTTTGCCCAGTATTGTCTGTTCCTGGGTCATCCCCTGGGAAAAATGTATCCATGAGCTTTATTACCATATTATCGACTCCTGCTGTGTATTTGTCGTCATCATGAATGACTGTAAGGAAAGTCGGAATTTTCAACTTGCCTGCACAGGCCTTATAAAAAAAGCCCCAAGGCTTTGTTGAGCTCTCTGTGCAGAAGTTGTGCCAGGATTCTAATTTCCTTGTCTTTATCATGGCTTTAAACACCTTACTGTTTTCTAAGTACTGCTCTTTCCTTTCAATTCTATCATTATCATTCCTGGCTCTCTGAAATCTTCTTCTTAGTCTATTATTTCTTTTTCTCATGTCTGATAATTCCGTTGACCACCAAGGCACTGCCTTTCGGCCTTTCTTTTTTATAGGGATACTCTCTCTACAGGCCTTAAATAAGTTCTCATTAAAATCCGTAATTGCTCTCTCAGATGACTCCTTGTCATGACATTCCTGTAGATTTATTATGTTCATTACTTCCTCTAACTTGGTTTTAAATAAGGGCCAGTTTGCCCTGTTTATGGCAAATTGGCTGCTTTCTTCACTTATCATTCCTCTTTCAATGCCAATCTCAAAATATATATAGCTATGGTCACTTAGACTACATAGCGATGATACGTGCCATGACCTTACATTGTTTAGAGCTTTGCCGTTACAGACGGTTAGGGCGATCCAACTTCGACCTGTGGCTGCTTCAAAGGTTGGTAATGAGTCAGGCTGGTTAAGGATAAATAGGCCATTAGCATTCGTAAATTACAGAATTTGACTTGCTCGCTCATCATTATTAAGATCTCCCCACAGTTCCGAATGCGCATTTAAGTCACCGCAAATAAAAATATTCTTGTGCGGAAAACGTTTAATCAGTTCATCCAAGCGATGTAGGATTGAGTTTAAATCGTCTGTTATCGGGCAGTAGACTGAAATGAATAAATAGTTACTGAGATAGTTTCCAACTTCTAGGCATGTTAAAAATTTGTTGCGTTCTTCAACGTGAAATACAACTGGAACATCTGGATTGTTGATGATGGCTGTCATAGACGGATGAAAGTCCCTGTTGAATAGTACTTTATAAGTTGTTCTGAGACAGGCTGGTATTCCTCTTTGACAATACGGCTCCTGTATGAGGGCTATGTCCACATTTTCGAGTGTCTTGCATAGTGCTGATGTACCACTGATTGATCTCTGTACATTGGCTTGTAAAACTTTCAGCAATCTATCATTTCCAGTTTCTATTGGGTTAATTCCCATAATCCGTCTTAGCTATTAACATTTTTCTGACTTTCTGAATTAGTGGACAGATCTTTGAGCAGGCGTTATGTCTACAATCTTTGATCTTTTCTCTTTTGCAATTCACACATTCCACTTTATCTGTGTGTGTACAGTCTTTATATTTGTGTCCTAGACCACACTGGCTGCATGTGGGTCCCTTTTCCTTGCAGTCTCTTGCAATATGTCCAATGCAGCAGCACTGGAAACATTGTGTAACGGAGATATAACCCTCCGCTCCACACCTGGACCAACCGAGGTTGATCTTCTTTTCTTTTAAAATAAGACGTCTTACGTCCGGGCTCACCTGAAGGACCCAATTGGTCGTTCTTTTGTTTCTATTACCAAATTGGAATCTTATTCCCACTTTGTCTCGAAATTCAGTTTCTGTAATGTTACTGCTAATAATTTCATTTTTCTCATACATGCTTTCAATAATTTCATCCTTAGGCACTTCTGTTCCTACGCCGTAAAGGACGATTCTCAGCTTTCTTTTGAAAGGCTCTCTTGTCTTTAGTCCTGTTTTAGATTCTATTTCTTCTCTTAGCTTATTCTTCTCTTCGGCTGATCCGACTTCGATCGCTATTCCCCCTCGTTTCAATTTACGAACAGCTTGTATCCCGATTCCCATCTTCTTGGGGTTGATGTTCTTCTTTAGTCTCTCCTTCGTTACTTCTGCATCGGAATTTTCTCTCTCTGGTTCCACTAGGATTATCTCTTTTCTTGGCTTTACTATTTTCTGCACTGTAACCTGGGCGTAACTTCGTCCAGAACTTTCCCTTGACTCCAAAACTTTATCTATCTTCTTGTGCAAGTTATCAACTGCGACTTGCAGTTGATCAGTTGGTTTTTGCTTTAAAAGATCGATAATGCGTTCTATTTGTCCGCGTACATATGCGACGTGTTCTTCTGTTCCGAGTCTGCATTTATGATTCTCAGCCATGTAGTTTTCCACTTCCTCGCGGATACTTTCCGCTATCTTTACTCTGTTATCTTCTTCAATGAAGTCCATTTCTCCTTGGGAAGACACCTTGTCTTCCGATTCGGACACGTGTGGCCTTTTGGCCATAGTACTAAAAAGGACTGTTTGAATGTTTGCTAAAAGACGCAGGAGTTGCTTAGTTTCACCCTTTCGGGTTACTTACGGGCAGGACCTCGAGAAGGTGCAACTCTGCTTCCCCTTGGAAATGTAAAAAAAAGGCGTTACAGAAGAGCTAGCTGACTAGAACGCAGGCAAAATCGCCCAAAAAAGACAGTCGAATCGCTCACGAAAAACTCACTACATAACAATGGGGCACCCTGCCCAAATGCATATATAGAGATATTTTTTTTGAAGGGGGGAAATGGTCTTCACAATTTGAAATCGATCGAACACACAGTGCTTGAATGCTCATGTAAATGTGCGCCATCTATCGTAGGATAAATGCCAGAAACCTTCGCGGGAGTGTATTAAACAACTTCTCAGTTTCACGGCAATCGGATAAACGGTGTGGTAATGCATGAAGGACACACACACACACATTCATTTTTATATATATAGATTAAATTTTACTGTAAATGTTATTCCAACCATGAAGCAATATCATTACATGTGTTTAAAAACTATTTGGTAGTGATAGTTGGGTAAGTTGGAAGGCAGCTTCAGGTCTTGGGACAAAACCCTATTTTTCCCATAGGTTCTATTATTCATTTATCACTGTTTTGCTTATCATGGTGTTTTTCTGGAACCAAACCCTGTGATAAACAAGGATAGATGTATTTATTATGTTAATCTTAAAAAATATGTCATGAGTATTTTAAGAATAATTAAAATAACTTTGAAGAAGATATATATTATAGTACACATGCAAATTAATGGAAATAGGGCAAAATAAACAAATATTGTATTTTTGTTTTTTGCCTTGTTTCCATTAATTTGCACAGTACTGTATGTGATTCATTTGCTTTATTAGAAGTGACTGAATCCAAATCAAACAGCATTTCCAACAAATCTTAACAATTCTTAAAATAATGTTAGATAATAATTCTTTAAATAATCATGGGCCACCATGTATTTGTGTCATATTTTATGCAAAGCATATAACACAAGTTATAAGTTGAATTTAATTAGTTGACGTGTAATTACTTAGATCTAATTTTTATCTGTAATATGATTTGTAATATGGTGCACGTAAAGGTATAATATGAAATGCTTTAATATTTTTTTTTTATTATTATTACTAATTTTACTAAGATTTAGTAGATTTTTTGAATGATCCTAAACTGTTTAAGATGTGTCAAGGTGGAGATATGACAAATCATGATGGTACCGGTGGGAAGTCAATTTATGGAAGAAAATTTGAAGATGAGAATTTTATTTTGAAACACACGGGTCCTGGTAAGCATTCTAATTATAATTAGATATTATATTGTAAAAAGAAAAATTATTTTAATATAAATAATATATGGAGTATAGACACAAACATTGTATCAAGCTATATCTCACATCTGCTATGGAATAACTAAATGCAACTGTACTGGAGTATAGGTAATTGATAGTGGGTTATTCATTGGTTCTGATATTATATGGAGAGACATATCATATATTGTTTAAATTAAAAAGCTGTTTAGCATCCAAAGACCAGTATAAAACATTCTTCATCCAATCAAAATACTCAAAAGGAAAGTGGTTGGACCTGTCAAAAAATGAGTGATGAAAGTGTGTGAGATTTCACTACTAGATCTTGAGCAGCCGAAGTCATGCAGAGAATTTACCACCTATTGTACAGTTAATTTCACAAACCTTGGCTGTAAAAATGTTTACTTAGTGAAGGGAATGGGTTATTTGACAAGTCACTGTGCATTATTAAGAAAGGATTCTCAAACTTTCTAAAATGTTCAAGAGGTTGATGTGTTCGACTGGTCCAAATAAGTGAATGAAACCTTCTACTCTATTTGCTGTTAATATTTCAGAATATAAAATTTGTTTTTGAATTCTTTTTAACAATCATACAACTATTAATTATTTTATTAAAAGTATAAAATATCTTATATTTTATCAAGCTAATTTTTGTATACACAAATTTTATTATAAAAAAAGTTTCATTTAATTAAACTCAAAATATACAATATAAATGAAATATGCGCTATGACATTTTGTGACATTTACAATAAAATATTTACGTTTCAAATCATGTCCTGAAATAATCATAATTACCTAATTCTTTTTACTGAATTAAATGTTAATTATACTTAATTCAGAATATTAAAAAATTTTATTAGGTTCACTTTCACTATTGTTTTCTTCTAAACTAATTATTAAATTCGTCTTTATTGCATCCATAAATCTTTTGTTCTGCCAATATTTTTCTGTCCATTCACTTTCTCCAATTTGTGAGAATTATTTTTTGCATACTTTCTTGGTATCATCTAATTTAAATGTTACTTTGTTAAACCCACTGTTTTAAATTTGCCCAAGGTAGCTCTATTGGATTTATACCTGAATGATAGGAGAAAGTTGAAGTATGGTGTGATTATGCTTCTTTGATAATCTGTCAATTTGATAGCTGATTAATTCATATAATTCTGGCTTTAGCATTGCATTTGAAAAAATAAATGTGTTTTAAAAGCCAAGTTTGTATTTATTTATTTATTTCAATTCTTGGTAGGGCATCATTCATCTTGTGCAATATGATAGGGAGCATTATTGATATATAAAACAGAATTAGCTGGAAGATTCAGAACAAGTTTTTTCATTTGTAGTTAACCAGCATTTCTTATTTATATTATGGTGATAACCACCAATTTTTTACAGGAATTTAAATATTTTACTGTTTAAAAGGGGAACTATTAATAAAAACTGGTTTTTTTCCCTACATGCACAATAATCAGTCTTTAGCTTTTTGATAACAGAGCTTTAGTACCTTTACTGCTATTATAAGTAAACCTTTATGGTGTGTAAAAATTATGCATATAAGTGTGACCAGAGGGTCGACACCTCTTTAGTGCTCGTCAGGACTGACACCACTGTGTCTTCAAGATAGACACAGAAACTGCAACTTCAGAATTGGCGAAAGCGGTCACATGCACAGGCAATCTGATTTGGGATGGAGGAGGATTGAGAGACAGATCAGAAGTGAATCACTACTACTTAATTAGAACGAAAAATATGTTTATTTATATACATCTTTACACAAATACATAAAGTAACCGAGAATTCTCTTTAGCTTTCTAGTAGTGAGTTAAAGTATCTATAGCTATATAGTGTCATCTGAGGTTAACAGATTCCTGACCGAGAGAGGGAGTTTACATTTATTTTTCACATGGAGATAAATACCTTGTTCTGTCAATTCTTGAACTTCGTTGGATGGTCATGGAGCAGGTGCACCCAGGTAGAAAAGTTCAAGCTTCTAGACTGAGACATCCGAATAGGGTTCTTGGAGGGAGAACCTCGATTGTCCAAAATAAGGAGCAACAGTCGGGGGAACGACTGCGGTGGATGGGATCAGCGATTGGGAAGCACACTTGAATATCCTTTCTCAAGGAGGGCAATTGGCAAACTCTCAGACTCTCAGACTCTCTCCTTGTCCCCGAGGCAATCTTTTTTATACCTCCAAATCATGTTATCTTTTTTCGCCAATGGAAACTTTTTGATAGTTCCCAGTGACACATTCGATGAGTTCCCTGGGAAAGGAAACAACTCCAGAGAGAGAGATATGTAATCATTCTCTGGTAATAAAATGGAAATTTTTTTTTGAAAGACGAAAAATGAAATTTTTATCAAAATTTGTCAGGTCCGGTCCCTCACATATGTTTAGTACATAGAGGCAATAGATATACTTTCTTTTCTGTATGCTTTTAATTATCTTAAATAGGAAATTTTTGTTACTCTAATATTGTGTCTTTCTGTTAAAACTACCATATTATTTTTACTTTCCTTTCTTTAAAAATCTATCTTTTTAATAATTTACCATGAACTTGTTCTACTCTCATTGAAGTCAATACTTTTAAGAGTGTTTAACACATTTGCTAAATGAGAGTTTCTTTAGTGAACCTAACTAAAAAAGATTATGAAGCCAAGTATCTACAGGTTTTACATACATGGGCCATGCATTTTAGGATTAAAATTAAGATATCAGTCAAATCTTGCACATTTTCATTTTAAAAGAATTGTTAATTCTGTCATCTTAAAGATATAATAAAATGTTTCTTCATTTTGTAAACTTAGAAAATTTATTAATATTTTATACAAGTCAAAATTTTATTACAGCAGGGCTTCTTAAACTTTTTTTATTCACGACCCCATTTATGATTGTGATTTTTTTCGCGACAGTTAATTTCACAAACCTTGGCTGTAAAAATGTTTACTTAGTGAAGGGAATGGGTTATTTGACAAGTCACTGTGCATTATTAAGAAAGGATTCTCAAACTTTCTAAAATGTTCAAGAGGTTGATGTGTTCGACTGGTCCAAATAAGTGAATGAAACCTTCTACTCTATTTGCTGTTAATATTTCAGAATATAAAATTTGTTTTTGAATTCTTTTTAACAATCATACAACTATTAATTATTTTATTAAAAGTATAAAATATCTTATATTTTATCAAGCTAATTTTTGTATACACAAATTTTATTATANTAAGCTGGTCATTATAAAGTGAAGAATATGATGGATTGCAAAAAACATCAAATACCAGTATGCATTAGGAATGTGAAAATATCAAAAAGTATATGTAGCATAAATATACCGTATATATATTTGCAGCTGTAAAAATATCATTTTAATTGAATTCTAAATAGCAAACAGACTATATAGGATACTTTAATTAAATGGAACATAAAAATTATGACAAAATATAAACGTTGATTAATTATTAATTCAACAAAAATGACCCGAGTGGAAATAACAAAAAAGAAAAACAAAACTGTTATTATGAACAGAAGAGTTTAGGTTATGATAGTTTGAATGTTGAGTTACGAAGGAAATTTGCTAGCCACGTCAAGGGATAAGAAATGTATTCGGTATTCTTGCATTCAAATGTCATTTTTGATCTAAACGACTAATAAAAATTGATATAGCAATTTGTCTGCTTTGTAGTTATCAAATAGATGTAATTTTTTAGAACATTTTTGCTTTTTTCAATAAATGATTTATTAAAAATTACTTTAGCCATCACAAAGCTGTTAAGATCATAAATTCAGGAAAACCAAACATCTCCTCACACTTTAAAATGGTCAGCAAATTTCCTTTGTAACACAATCTTTGAACTTTCGCCAAATAAATGCTTTTGTCTTAACCTTAAAACTGTTTCTTTTTCATTACTATTATGCTATGGTTCTTGTCGAATGAATGAATAACTTCGGTTTATGGTTTCTTGGTACCATAACCTTAATTCCAACAATAAGACATACATATTAATGTTATTTATCATCATTTATTGTCAAGTTTGAGAAGACTAATCTGGTTAAGTTCTCAAACAGATAATGAATATTGTTTGCCTTTTTACAGCCTGCGCCCTCTCTATTCCTATTTTAAGTCGGTTTTTATTTGATGCCTACGGCCAAAATTCTTCCTCTGAGAGTATTTGAACTGATTCTTTGTTTTAGTTTTAAAATGTTTTGTATGTAATTAATTATTTCAGAATATTGAAGGTGGAACTTTGGGTTTTTGTAAGGTAGGTTATGGATGACTGCATCCATTATTTAAAGTGTCCACTATTTAGAGGTGAATATAATAGATGTCATATTTGAAGGGCCTGGAGATTGTAAAAATTTTTACAAATCAGAGGTATATGCTGTTCGGGAGTGTTCATTAATGGAAGTTTCAATGTATTAATATTCATAAATACCATGTAACAGCTTAATTAAAGTTCCTAGAATATGATTATTGCATTTGAATCAATTATTATATTTTCATAAGCAAATTAAGAAATCTATAATGATTAAATTTAATTTTTTACAAATAAAATTTCATTGATAGCATAATTATTTGTCAGGTACTCTCTCAATGGCAAATTCTGGACCAAATACAAATGGATCTCAGTTCTTTCTCACAACAGTAAGAACAGAATGGTAAGAAAATAAATTTTTTTTCCCTACTCTTTCTGTGCTTGTGATGAGGGCTGTTAAGTGGATCTGACTGCATCTACTATCTGCCAAAATCTCTGAACCAGGCCAAAGCAATAATAGCATCAGCCTGTTGTTTACTGTTGAAATTATCCATCACATATTAATTTTATACTTAAATAATTATACAATATATTATTATTATTTTTTTTTTTTTTAAGGTTGGATGGAAAACATGTAGTATTTGGACAAGTAGTAAGTGGAATGGAAATTGTAAAAAAGATGGAGGTTGGTGATATATAATTGTATAAATATTTTTAAAAAGAAATTGTATTGAATATTAATTCAATTTTGTATTATTAGGATTGCGGATCAAAAACGGGAAAACCAACTGCTAAAGTCGTGATCAGCAATTGCGGTGAACTTGTATAATAACGACCTATGTTTAAGAAGTTTTATGTAAGACATAATATTTAAATAAATCATTTTATTAATTAATGTTACATATTAATGTTATAATGTTAATTGCTTTTATTAAAATTATATAAATCAAATGAAACATTCAGAATATTACATTATTAGAATCATTATAAAAATTTGTAAAATTCTCTTCCCATTAACTTTAGAAAGATAGGAATTTTTTTTAAATGCAGTAGGTTGCAATTTTGCAAAAAATTAGACATTATATCTATTAAATATAAAAATAATGAATTTTTTAATTTGGAAATTGGTTACTTTAGCATTGAATTGAGTTTATGTTCATTTATTTCCTGTTGAAGATGAGTATAAATATTTTTGGAGAATTTATGATTATTTATTTACGGATAAACTAAATCTTAATATTAATTTTTAAAGATTTTTAAATTATATCCAGAGCAGCAGACTGATATCTTTGCTGTTTAGCAACACAAGAGCACTGAAAGAGCAAGAAATATTCTTAAATTGCTTTATTGGAGTTCATAATTCATAAATTTCCTCATTTACATTTTTGGTTGATGACTTGACTACTAAATTCATCGTTTGATATCAAACATGTAATAAACTAACATGAATTGTGAATTAATTGCTTAAATGGAAGGTAAACAAATGAAAATTAATTATTTAAAATGGCTTCTATGTTCAGAAATTTTTTTTAGTCGAAGCTCTGTTTTTACTATTAAGGTGTTGCTTTTTTTCATTAAGTACCTGGATTTGTAAATAGTGAATTTTATACAATATAAACATTTATGAAATAAGAAAACGCAAATAACCAAACTACAGTTTTTATTTAGTCACAATTAAATCAGATCATTACAAACACATGACAAAAAATACAAAAATTAGGACATTTTGTCACTGTAGATTGCACATGACATACATAGGTTATATCATAACTGGGACAGGATTAAATGGATACTCTTTCTAGGCCCAAGCCTAATGTTTCGTAATTTTTCCTGCAGGAACTTGGCATCCTTTCGAAATTTTTACATATAACATGCACATCACACTATATAAGATTTTATTGTTATTGTTTGTGCTGCTAATTATATGAAGACATTACATAAAATTTTTTTTTGTAATTATCATTTTAGACATTATTATATTATGTCCCAGGCACAAATCTGGACAAACATTGGGTTCATCGAAGCAAATAAAAAAATTTGTATATGTTTACATATATATATAATGAACCCCATTGTTCCCAAACAAAAATTTATCAAATGGACAGTTGATTGCTGGACTGGGAAGTACTTTTTGCATATTTTAATACTTAATAATTGATGGTGTGAGTAAGAAGATACTTTAAGATAAAATGAGGTAAATACTTTAGAAATATCTTACATATTGCCAATTAACAAGAATGTTCCATCTACCTGGAATGCGTTAAATTGATTTTTAAAAAATTGTAATCTATGGACAACTTGGGCTCTTATTTTTAGATCTTGATCCATTAAATAATCAAGATTTTCTTGATGTTTAAAAGTCACATTGTAAGAAATTCTAAATTTATCTAAATTATTTGCTTTCTTAAAGCATAATCAGAAAAAAAGCATCCTATATATATTCTGTACAAATAAATTAAAGAAAAATAAAAAAAATTAGATTTTATTTTAAATAGAAAAAGAAAACTTGATGATACAACAAAAAATCATCAAGTTTTCTTTTTCTAAACAATAACAGGATATCTCAGTCTATAACCATAGGAGTTACGCTGATCTTTGTTTATTCTTTTGCAGATAAAGCATGGTACCAAGTAAAGAGGAATGAATTCACTGTGGATCTTCCAACCCACTGTCAGTGTAAAGTTGCCAAAGAGTTTAACATGCTGCATCCAGATCACACAGAGAATAGATGAAGCCCATTAAAGTCTTTGGTAATTTCACATGGATTGCAAGTCCCCACCATCAAAATAATTTCAGTTTGTTCCTCCTTAATCAGCACCACACTTTATCTATAAAACAAAGAATAACATGACTTATGGTTCCAGACTGGGATACCCTGTAAATATTAAAATTATTGTAATTTAAAATATTAATTCCAGGATACAAAAAAAAATCTGACTTATTAATAATAATCACATACTCTACTTTTAAATATTACCACCTTCTGTGTAATTCAATTGGATAATTGCAGTAAATAAAAAAAATTCTATTTATACTTCATTATTTGAGGATTAATAATCTATTTGCTCAGGTAATTTCAAAATAAATAAACTGAGAAAACCTTCAATAAAATATAAACTAATTCTTATGTATCTTATCTATTTGAGAAAATTACACATTTGCTATTTAAAATTATTCATAATAGACATTATATTATATTATTGTTACAAAGAACAATGTAACTTTCATACTTCAAAGAAAATTACAGAGAAATTATAGAAAGATTAAGTCGGTAATGAGCATCGGATTCATAATGACATTATGTCACTTTTAAAAAATTAAAATTAATGTTGTATAAATAAAGATTTAATGCATAAAAATTATTGAAATACTAGTGAATTACTATTTTTACAAGAAACCAACAGAAGATATTATCTCATATCAAATATGAGAACCACTTTTTTCTAATTGATATGGGATGCTTTTTCTTATTAAATGCTTATATAAGCTTTATTAACACAAATGATATAAATTTCAAAACATTTTAAATATATAAATAAGCTGCAACAATAAAAAAATTAACTGGTTTTGCTAATATGCAGAAATACTACAGAAAATACCATTTAATTTTAAAATGAATTATCTTTACTTTTTATTGAAATAAAGTAAAATTGTAATTTTTCATTACATTTAAAAATCTATTATGTAAACTACCAACAATTTAGAAATATATCACACTTTTTTTAGATATATTTTCTTATTACAATAAAAATATAACTACAGATGGGATAGTCATACCTACCTATAAAAGTATTGAGATTACTTACCCCATTTTACCTTAAATTTATAAAAATATTATAATAAATCAAATCATAATTAAAAGAATTAACTACTACCTCAAAGCCTGTTACCGGTGTGAAATTAACATTAAAAAAACGAAAAATTAGATTTCCACAAACGTTTTTGAACCTTCCAAATGGTTATTCTTCAGGTGGCAACGAATTTCCATTAGAATGCCATTAAAAAAGAAAGAACATTTATTCGAAATTTGAATATGTTTACCCCTATGACATCTTTGGGTAAACAATTGGGTAAATATATTCGAATTTCGAATAAATGTTCTTTCTTTTTTAATAGCATTCTAATGGAAATTCGTCGCCACCTGAAGAACAACCATTTGGAAGGTTCAAAAATGTTTGTGGAAATCTAATTTTTCGTTTTTTAATGTTAATTTCACACCGGTAACAGGCTTGAGGTACGTAATTAACTTTACTCCAGTGTTTAGTAGTGTGGAATTGCAAAAGAATTAACTCTTGCCCCTCAATTTAATTTTTATTACAATTCTTGGGAGCTATATTTAAAAATATTTGAAATTACAGAATTATTAACTTTACAAACTTTATTTAGGACAAAAATAATAAGTTATTTTGTCAAAAATTACTTTGTTAACCGATTGACATTTTGTGGAGCCTACACAAAGGGTAAGCGTCAAATTACGCATAACGGAACGACACTCGATTAAGGGATTAATCACCATACTTAATTTTTTAAAAGCTGTATCTATGTTAAATATAAAATGAAAATTTTTTACACTAAAACAAATTAAAACTATTTCCAGACATTTAAACCTGAGTTCTGCATTATATGAATGCTAGAAAGGCAAATTGGTTTGGTTACATCATTACTGTATTTAAGCGCATATATTTATATATATATAATATATAAAACTGGACATCAGATCATCTTTTAAATAGTTTATGATATCAACCAAAATTTCTTATTTCCTAATGCACATAAAAAACACACCGTGGCTAATATATGATATTGCTGTTTAACGAAGACACAAGGACTGTAATCAATAGAAACAATTGTTGTACTTTAATTATAGATTGGTCAAATATATGGGCCTATAACATCAGGTTTATGCAATTTAATGTCATATTTGAGGTAGTGCTATTATATGACTGACCTAACAGCTTCCCAGAGACAGAGATGCGTTATTTAAATATTAAATTAATATAATTAATTTTTCCATCGATTTATTTCGGAATAAAATAACCTCCTTATATATTTTTCCATCGAGTTTTTAAATCTTGTTACCAATTTGTGAACTTTCGTCAATTGTTTTGAAAATTATTCATACATATATTAGAAGATTTTTATATAAAATCAATAAATAAGACTTAAGTTTTAATATTCAAAATGTGACACTTAACATGCCATCAATTTTTGTCATGTTATCAAACTAATTACATTTATATGTTTTACTTAAATCATTTATTCCTAATCTCCTCGTTTTCTTTAATGGGAAATGCACAAATTATTTCATCAGTAGACCATACGATGAAATTTTCATTTAGCTTCTCAATATTTTTAACAGACTCAAATCTTGCAAGAGGTATATTAATGGTCAGAATTATTGGCTATATGTTTTTGGTTTTGTACTGGTGTTTGTTTCTTTAAATGCATAACAAGCAGATTATTTAGAAAATTTGAAATCTGTGCATCGCTAATTCAAATCCATTAAGTTCAAAACATATAAATACTAAAATAACATCTATTATTTTGACAGAATCTTATTCATTAAGAAGAGTTTTGAAACTTTGGCAGTTGAGAACATCCGATAGTATTAAAAATACTCAAGTTAAATGGATCACCCATTATATAATAATGACAATAATGATGATGATATATATATGATTTCTCTGAGTACAAACTGGAATTAGTCACGTTAGACAAATATTAAATTGAACAACAGAAACAGTTTCGAGGGATAGAGGTATTGAAGTTTACCTGATTTTCACAATATAATAACAATCGCACAATATCTATAATAAAGCGATTTCCTGAATGAATGAATCCCTTTCTTATAACAAACTTAAAATATTCAATCGTTTTGTACTTGTAAAAATGTAAGGATAAATACTGTAAACTCTTCTGTACAGTAAATAAGAACTATTACTGGATTTTGTTATACGAATTATAAAAAGTTCCGCAGAGATGAAGATACATCTTAATGTTTCAATAAAATTTTATACAAATTCTATTACCTTTCGATACTTTTTTATTTTATTTAACAATTTATTTACTTTTGTTTCTTGATTGATACGTTTTATAGTATTATTATTATTGAAAATTTTAAACAGTTTGATAAATGCAATTTGAATACTGTTCAACTATGTATCTTCATTTCTTTAATAAATTTATAAAACATTAGAATATTTTTTTCTATAATATAAAAATTGGCAGTTCTTTATTGAAAATTATAGAATAACTTTGAAGTGCATGTATTAAAAAGTAAGAAACATCAGTTTGTGCTGAAAGTTATTATTGTTAAGAAATATACAGTATAACTAAATCAAAAGAATAAAAGAAATTTCAAATCAATTACTATGGCTAATGAAATTTAAAAAGCATTAATAATTGCTAAAAAATTTTATCTACAATTTAAGAATAAGGTATAAGAACTGCCAATATAAGTAAAAGAAATTTGCATATTTACAAAAGAATTATCAAGTGGAAGAAAAACAAGAATTGTCACACTTGAAATAATTACATGTACTATGATTATATAATAATCTGATATTCTTTGATAAATAAAATATACAATTACAACAATAAAATTATATATTGACTCTAAAAAATTAACCCTGTTTGAAAATCATACTATGGCTAATTACTTTAATGTATGCAATGCACACGTGAATAACTCACAAAATTAAAATACAAACATTATTTTTTAAAAAAATTCTGTACATTGTAAACAAAACTACCAGATATTTATTTGAAAAAACTGGTCAGTTTTGCACTGGTAGACAGGATTCGAGTCTTTTTTTTTTACGATTATGGCAACAATGTATGAGGTATGAAGGGCAAATAAATAACAAATCCAACAACTGTTTTGTGAATCAATTATGGAAAATTATAAACTATTAGCGTAATACTGGCTAGCGAAGATACGGCAATTCAAATTGATGATGTTTCAGTCTGACGTCACGGACCAAATAATCTCCAAAAGATGGCGGATGTTACTAATGAGTGTGATGGCATGTTTTACGTTATTCAACATGCAATATTATATTTTAAGATCAAAAATAAAAATTGGCAGCTTAAATAAATAAATAAATAAATAATGTAAAATGATGAAAATCCAACTGATGAAAGGAAAAAACTGAAGAGTCTGAAAGAACAAAAAAAATCGTAAATGTTTGCATCGGATAAAAAATATGGTAAAAATTGTTATGGCAGGAATATTACAAAATATGTTCATTTCAACTGGACTTTGTCAGAAGACAAAATTATTTTTCTGTTGACATCCATTGTAATGCAATCATTTTTTTAAAATATGTTATTTACAATGTTTGATGAATGAACAATGGCAAATCTTTTGAAAAAAATTTTGTCAATGGTACCAGTCATTACAAATGCTAGAGAAATATAATTGCAAAATTAGGTTACTTCCCCCTGCAGTTGGTTATGACATCAAATGCCTCAATCATCTATTGTAAACACCATCACCACATACATATTCAATTCATGCAATTTCTTTTCAATAAAGATATATCCCAATTATATCACCCTTGTCTAAAACAGACTACAGACTCAAACATCACAAGACATGCATTTATGTTGATTAAAAATATAATCTTCAAATGAAACCCTTTCTCGTTCTGTCGGTTAGACAGCAAAATAAAATAATTTTTATCACTTTTTTTTTCTTTAAATATCTAGTTAAATTTATATTTGCACTTTCTCCAGATGTTTATGTTGTGCTTATAGAATATGGTGGCACCGAAATTGATCACAAATTGATGTTTTCACAGCAAATTGTAATGGCTGCCATGATTTTACACGAGCCCATCTAATGATATAAATAAATGTTTGATATTTCAGACATATCCTATTTGAAATAGCTACCATCAAATGATCTTTCACAATCAGACAAATAGCAAACACATACATTGAAGACAAACTTACTTCAAAAAGTGTCTTATTTTGTTGGCTATGCCACTTGCACACCACAAAAATTAAAGTAAATAAGAATAGATCTTGCTTGGCAAGAGATCAAATGTAAAAGCACAACCCCAATTTGTAGCACTCCTATCAGCTTTCGACCGCCGGACCACTTTTTTTTCGTTTTTACTAAATACTGTCATCTACAAGGCCAGAAATATATAGATATATATATATTTTCAAACAGCTCAAAGTTTCATTTTGTGAATCTTTCACACATTAATTTTTCATTCGTGAAAGAGCTTCATATCTCCTGCTTTACATGCATCTTGTCATCGTCATCTAATTCCATAACCATCATCTCACCATTATCATACTGTCCTTGCGAATCATGCGAACTATCACTATCTGCTGTTTCGTTAGACAGATCAAGATGGGCACTATTAGGTATGGAGGGCACTAATGGATTGGAAGGTGGAAGGCTTGTGGGAGGTGGTGCTGCAGAAGTAGAAGATGGCCAACCTAAACTGGATACAGATGGCATTCCTGCAGGTTGAAGAGCAGCAGATACTGCTGCCATAGCTGCTGCTAAATAAAGTAAATATCTTTAACATAAAATATAATTTTTTTCTTTTTAAGAATATTTTAAGAAACATTTATTAAAAAGAAAATAATTACGATAGTAATTATTTATTTTTTACTATTAATATAATCATAAACCTTAAACTGGGATTAAACTTAATGTAATTATACTCAAAAATATTCAGTATAATTACAGTTTCAAAGTAATAATATACATATAAAATTAATTATTCAAATTATTATTCAGAATCCATATAACTTTAGTAAACCAAGAATATTTTTGAAAGTACAGTAGAGCATCGATTATCCGAATCAATTGGGGACTGAGGTTGTTCGGAAAGTCGATTTTTCGGATAATCGATCATGTACGAAAAAGATATTAACCTATCCCGTGTTGAAATTCGTTCAAATCCTGGCACGTCCTTAGGTACCCTCTCACGGCCGTGCCAGTGCTGCCAGCTAAAATACGCACACCAACAAAAATAATATTCGAGTGGCCCAAGACATAGCCAAAGATTGCAGCGCCACAGCACTAGCGGAAATTTAAATTTGCCGACTGGAAAGCTTTCGGTTAATTGATGCTCTACCGTATTCCAAACTATTTAATTCTAAACATAGTCAAACCTTAATATAGCATAAGTATTTGTTCACCGCTAACTAAATGGAATGCACTGCTTTATGAATAATCTCAAACATTGAGAGTTATTTTATTAATGAATTCTAAACACAAGTTTGAGGTTTGAGAGTTTGAAAGTCACACAATTTAGTGATAAAAATGTCCTTTACAATAAAAAATCCTATACTTGGTAATTCAGAGATAATTATTAAATGATGGTATTCTTTATGTGGAAAAAACATTTGCAAGCATTGATTGGCACTGTACGAGGATAGTGCTATATAGAAAGGCATTTTATATTGAAGTTTGACTACATTGAACATGTGAAATAGTATTTTCTTACATTAAATATATTTTAGTGCAAGTTTAAATCTGAAAAAATATAATTCATCAAAAATATAAATTTATCTTTTTTTATATTAGAATAAACTAGATTAAAGTAAATTATATACAGTATTTAAAAATAATTTATATGATTCAAAGAAACATTTAAATTTTACATATACTTTTTTTAGTTTTATTTGTTTTGCATATTGGGAAATATTACACGTTGATGGATATTAACAGTTCATTTTTAGTTTAAAATACAAGCTAAAGAAATAATAATTTGATTTAAAACATAAAACATACAAGGCATAATTATATTCTATAAAATTCTAATATATATAAAAAGCACTGAATGTATTTTTATGAAAAGCATTATAAAATATGTACTTATCTTGAATGTTAATGAATCCATTGCAGAAGTAAAATTCATTCAATCACAATAATAATTAAATTTTTGTAAAGATATTTAAAATTGCTTTTTAAAACAATTATGATGTTTTAAATCAACCAATTTAATAACATATTCACATGTTTTCTTGATTTCAAATACTTTTTAAGATATGTAAGGTGATACAAAACATTGGTCTCAAACTTCATGAGCATATAGAGGGGTTGAAATAGAACAACTTTCTAACAGGAACTGTGTTTGCTGATATAATCCTGAATCAGCATAAGCTGTCTAATGTAAAAACTATACATGACAACATAAAACATATCAATGAACAATTGTTTAATAATGAAACAAAGAATACATGAATAGAAACATAGTACACGTGAAATGGTATTGTTACAAAAAATGTTTGAATTGGCATCCCCCATATCCAATATGGGCATTGCATTTTCAAAGGAAATCGGTGCATCCTCTCAATTATCCATGGGTTTCCTTAACAATATCTACAGTTGCAAGAATTTTGGCTAACAGTGTTTTCAGATCATCCACCAGTGTCTCATAGAAAAGGTTTTTGATATGCCCCAAAAAAAGTTTACCAACATAATTTGAGTCAATATAAGCTGTTTAATGTAATCAAGTTCCTACTCAAAAGTTGCTCCATTTTAATTCTCTGTGTGCTCCTGAAGTTTGAGACCAATCTTTTGAATCACTCTACTATATTCTTAATTTAAAATATATAAAGTCTGTTATAAAATATACTGTATTTATTCTAATAAACACAATTCTTTAATACAGTTGTCCCTCTATAGTCCAACGTTTTTTAATCCGACATGCTCAGTAGTCTGATGCACCTCCCGTCAAGGTACCCGTCCCCGTTACGTGTCTGCTTGCACAGAAGCATGTCGCGATGTAAATCTCCCCATCCAATTCTTACTCAATGACACACATTTCGTGTGTTTTATGTGAGCAGTTTTGTTCGAACAGTTGGAGTAGAGAATATTGTAAGTTACTGCTAGCAAAACAATGCGAAATATGTAATTATTTTTGGTAATCCGGACACTTTTGGTAATCTGACACACCTTTGGTCCCATACCTGTCGGATTATCAAGGGACAACTGTACTAAGTTCACTCTAAAACAGCACAGCTGCAAGCTGAAAAAAGTTAGAGACAGTATACTATTTATTAGAATAAATACAGTACTGTACAGATAATATTAAAAAATAAAAATTCTATAAACATTTTTTAATATCTTTAAACAAAAGAAAATTTGGAATTTTCAAATTAATAAAAATTATAGAGAATAAATAATTTTTCTATTACCTTTTACCAGACTCCACTTATTGTAATCATAAATAATGTTATCAGTCAACATTATCAAAATAAAAGTTATAATACATCATAAAAACTTCACTTACTGTAACCAGAATTCAGTTGTTGTAATCATTAATTTTGGGTAAATAGGCCTTTTTATGCTTTCTTTTCATATTAGCATTCTAAACATATAATAATTTTCATGTTATCAACCATAAGTTATTATAATTGGTTTTAACCAGTCCTTTAAATTGATCATTTTAATTTTTATTTGCTCATAATACAATAGTTTAAATTGCTAGCATTATACTAGTTGTTGTTGAAGTTGGTATCAGACATACAATACTGAATGATTTATTATTATTATTATTAATTAATTAATAAATCTTCAAGATATTATATCTTTCAAGATTTTTAAATTGTTTTCATGCATTCTTTTAATGTTAGAATCAATGAAATCAGAATTTCTTCCAATGATAGTCTTATAACATTATGGAAAGAAATTAAATAAGTTTAGGCAAATCCAAAAGTGATTAAAATAAGCAGCATCTACTGTATTTTTCAACTGACTTTTAGGTTTTGCATTTTCTTATAATAATAGTTTGAGATTTAGTTTGTATTAACTACTGTAGTTATGAACGTTAGATCATAAGAATTTTTCATTTGCTTTACAGAAAGTTAGCATGAAACATGACAAGAGATTGCAGTCAGTATAAAGCATAAAAGATAAAGCAAATAATGTTCAACAGATTATTTTCATTTTCCATTGTTGAGATTATGGTAACAGTTATATTTATTAAAATTTGTGAATTAACAATATAAGATTAATTGCCTAAGATATGTTAACTGTATTCTATAATATACATACAGTTCTGTTTATAATCTATGCAATTTCTTATCAACTTAGTGAAGACTTTCTAAAATAATAATCACATACTTATATTTCAATAATTAAAATTATACATCTTTATGTTTTATATAAGGGGCAGTCAAATGAAAACGAGACAGATGAGAAAAAAGTAAGTAAACTGTTTATTATTTCAAAAGTAATCACCATAACTGTTAATACATTCATCCCACTGTGAGACAAGATAGTCAATGCCTTTGTGGAATAATGTTTGCGGTTGCCTACAGAACCATGACTGTACCCAGGCATGCACCTCTTCATCCGAAGCAAATCAACGGCCACGAATGTATTTCTTCAGGGTTCCAAAAATATGGAAATCGCATGGGGAGAGATTGGAATTGTATGGAGGATGTGTAAAAGCTTCCCAGAAAAACTTGAAGTGTGTCATCAAGTCCAAACACCCAGGAATGTTGACAGACAGCATCATTCCGTTGCAGGATAATGCCTGCCCACATGTTGCCAAGGTTGTTTCGACTACGCTGCAGAAGTTTTGCTGGGAAGCCCTTACACATCCTCCATACAATCCCGATCTCTTCCCATCGATTTCCATATTTTTTAGAGTCCTGAAGAAAGACATTCGTGGCTGTCGATTTGCTTCGAACAAAGAGATGCACGCCTGGGTACAATCATGGTTCCGTAGGCAACCACAAACATTATTCCATGAAGGTATTGACCATCTTTTCTCACAGTGGGATAAATGTATTAACAGTCATGGTGATTACTTTTGAAATAATAAACAGTTTACTTACTTTTTTCCCATCTGTCTCATTTTCATTTGACTGTCCCTTATAGAAACTCAATAAAATTTTAATGAGAAGCATACTCAATTCTTTCTTGGATCAGTATCAGCTTATGAAATAATATTTGAACATATATAGAAAATATTTTTTACTTCAAAATATTAACTAAGAATGTAAAAAATCAGTAAATTCTTTATATTGTAAATCTACATATTTATGATGATCCTACAATTTATATAACTATTATTGGATTAAAACATTTATTTGCTAATGTTTGAATTTAAAAATTTCTACTTTTATATTATATTTCAAATGTTAATTTTACAATTTTTTATCAATAAATACAGGTAACCCCCGTATAACACGGCACTTCTATAGCACGGATTCACTCTGACACGGTTCGAGAATTGGGTAAAACAGTACAACAGGAAATGTAATAAATTTTTACATACTTAACTAATAATAGTTCACAAAAATTATTAGTGTCTGCTTGCACA